AATCAAGAAACGACCCAGGACGGAACGCCGGTCCCGGGGAGTGGGTCGGGACCTCGGGGGGTCGACGTAATGAACAAATCATGACACCAGGGGTCTGGGAGATGGGGGGGCGAACAATTGGAGGGGGAAGAAGGGTGCACTTGTCGGGCCCTACGGGTCCCTTTTTGAAGCTCCTCAGGACCACTTTAAATTCGCTCAGGGCCGTAAGGGGCCTCTTTTATGCAGCCCTCGCTGCCCCCCTTCATTTACCGCCCCCGCCTTGCAAGACGCCCAGCCCCCCCTCTTTGGCGGCGGGCCCCGGGAGGGAAAGCAGAGGGCCAGGGGGCTGGCCTTCTCAGGGCCTTTGGGGAAGCCTTCCGAGCCTTCTGAAGAGGCCCGCCCCCCCTGCTGGCGGCTCCTGGGCCGTATAACGTGGTCCTCTGGAAGCCCTCTGGGACGATCCCGGCACCCCCAGAACGCTCTCGGCGAGGCGCACCTGCTGGAACACATCCCGAGGCTGGAGAAGCGACAAGAATCGACGAAACCGTCCTAAAATCCCGAACCCTGAGAGCTTGGCGACTCAATTTGTTTCGAATCCAGCGATTTTGCCCAATGCCGAGACCCGGGGCCCTCACAGGTCGATCTGGCTCGAAAAATGATGCAGAAAGTTTGGGCCTAGGGCTCCGGTCGTGATTTCTCAAAATGTTTCAATTTGTTCGAGGCGTCGGATCTCAGGGTCGGTTGCCTCGATACGTCCGTGTTAATACTCTACGTGTTGGCTCAGCGCAGTGGCCCACGTTTTGGCCCACGCTGCCTGGTTCCAGAAAGGGTCTGGCTCCGGACCTCGGCTTAGTGCGAATGTTTGCAGCAGTGGGCCCTATGAGGGGAGACTCCACCTGCTCGAAACAGGCGCCCAAAACGGCCAAGATCTACTCCGGGAGGGAGGGAGGGGGGGGTGCGAGGGCCTGCGCTGGGCAAATGACAACGAATAAGAAAACGACGACATCTCCCACGCTGTTTCAATCTTTTCGAGGCGTCGGATCTCAGAGAACCTCGAGCCCCCTCTGGCCTTGCCGCCCCCCCCTCCTGGGGCTCGCCGCGGACCTGTCCCTGGGGGGCGCGGCCGCGTGGCCTTCGGAGCCAAAATGGCTGTGCCCGGCGGACCTTCCCGGGGTGCGCGGCCTGTCGCCTTCGTGGCGGCCTGTCCCCCGCCGCGGCGGCCGCCTCTCGCCCGCGGGGTCCGCCCCGCTTCTGGCCGCCGAGTTTTTTTTGGTTTACACGCATGGTTAGACGAACATCATTATTTCCAGTCCGGTTCAGCGATACCCTGGCCCCACCGCCGACGTCAAATTATGTAGCACGGATGAGGAGGCATGGCGGGTGCCAAGGGAAAAAGGAAGGATGCTGCAACGCTGCTGTCTCGCGCGTTCTCCTGGAAGCATCCTCGTGCTCCATTCCGAGGCTCCACGCCCTGGAGCGAGGCGTGGGGGGGAGGGGGGTCGTCAAGGGGAGGGTCTGCCAAGGGTCGTCGGTCAGGCCGCCCCGGATCCTCCCCTCGTGCCCGTCCCTCCTCAGGCCCAGGCGCCACAGGGCATCACGAGCTCTGGCCCTCCGCATCGCCTGCGCCCTCTGGATCGGCAGGCGGGGCCCTCGGCTCCAGGGTTTCTGGGTGCTCCTTCCGCTCGTCGCCTCGACCTTCTTTTCCTCGCTCCTGGGGCGCCGGGGGCAGCGCTCGTGCAGCTCCGTGCCCTCAGGAGCTGCTCCCTGGGCCCCGGGGGACCTGCGGCACGCGGCCGGGCATGAGGAGCCGAATTCCCGCGGCAGGGGCCGAGAGCCCAGGGGCCGCCCGAGGGGAGGGGCCGTCCTCTCGCCACCTAGCTTTATGTCGGGCGTGTCCCCCTGCAGGGGGGCTTTCGACGAAAAATAAAAAATACCCCCAAAATGCACCAAAAAGGTCAAACAATACTAAAAAAATAGTCCTCAGACTGTTTTTGGATTATTTTTGGAATATTTTTTGGGTATCTTTAATTTTTCGTCGACAATCCCCCTGTAGGGGGGACAGGCCCGACTCAGACCTAGCTCCGTTCCCGCTCCCGGCCCGTTCTTGGCTTCGCCCTCGTCCTCTCCTTTCCTCCCTTGGCGAGGCGCAGCCCTCAGACCCTACAGCGCTGCAGCTTCTCTCGCAGCGGGCGCTCTCGCCCTGCCGCGGGCCCCGGGGCCCATGCACAGATCGATCCGGCCCGAAACATGCCGCAGAAAGAGGGGGTCCGGGGCTCCGGTCGTGGTTCTTTGCGATGCCGCATTTTTTTCCGCAACGTCGGATCGCAGGGAGGGCGTCGACCTGGGCAAGAGTGGCCGTTGGGGCGCGGCGTCAGGGTGGGGCTGAGCCCAGGCGCGCTAGCCGCCACTGCCGCATCGCGCTCAGCGATCGGGGGGACCCTGGTGGGCTTTCACCAAAGTTCACTTCAACGAAGGGTCGCTCCTAATTACGTGTGGTCGCACTCCTCATCCCCTATGTTTCCTCGGGTCGGAGGAGGCCGCTCTCTGTGTGAGGACGAAGTTATCCCAAAGGAGCTCCCAGTGCGAGGTCGCGCCTGTTAGAGAGGAGCCCTCGACGTTCCCCGAGTTTTCTCCCAGAGATCCCCCAAGGAGGCAGATGTGGGTGAGGAGATTGGGGGGGAGGCAGAAGGGGAAGGGGATAGAAAAACAGACAACAACATACGTAATCATAAACATTTGGAAGTCCGCGCGGAGTTCCGGGATCGGCCCTGGACTCCCCTTCCTGGCGTGCGGAGCGCGCAAGGGCGGCGTCAAAGGTGCCGCCAGAGATCCGACGTGACAAAACTGCAACGTCCAGATCTCAGGGGACGGCGACGGGCCACTTGGGACGATCTGGGCACCCCGGAAACGCTCTCGGCGAGGCGCAGCTGCACAACGAAGACGTCCGACAACCCTCGCAGGTCTCAAGGAGAAGAGAGCCCGAATGTCTATTGCCCTGTTCTTTCAATACGAGGTGCCCGGAAATTTCGACCCTTTCCCCAAGGCTGGGTTTCCCCCCGCTTCCATTGTGGATGGCCCCTGGGGCCCGGCAACGTGCCCCAGAGGCCGAAATCCGCCTGGCGGGGCGGGAGGCTGGGGAAGGCTCGGGCCGTAGACTCTGGAGGATTGTGAGCAGGACGTGGCTGGTGTGTCGCGTCGCGTGTCGCGCCGAACCGTTGTGGGCCATAGCCAGCGGTGCGACACGCTACGAAACCCGCAGCGTGCGAGGCCCCCCCCAGGCAGTTTGCTGTTGTTGTTAATATTGCTGCTGTTGGTGGTATCGCTGCTGTTGCTGCCGTTGTTGCTGCTGTTGAATTTGATGCTGCTGCTGCTGTTGTTATTGTTGTTGTTGCTGTTATGGCCGCTGCTGTTGTTGTTATTGTTGCTGTTGCTGCTGTTGTTGCTGCTGCGGTTGTTGTTGTTATTGTTGTAGTCGTTACTGTTGTTATTGTTGTCGTTGTCGTGGTCGTTGCTGCTGCTGCTGCTGCTGCTGCTGTTGTTGTTGTTGTTGTTGTTGTTGTTGTTGTTGTTGTTGTTGTTGTTGTTGTTGTTGTTGTTGTTGTTGTTGTTGTTGTTATGGTTGCCGTTGTCGTGGTTGTTATTGATGCTGCTGCTGTTGTTGTTGTTGTGGTTGTTGTTGTTGTGGTTGAATTTTCATCAATGAAGAATAATTATTGTTGATCCCCCCCACCGGTGCATACTGTTTTTTCTCAATCAAAATGTGCCCCTCGACGCTCGCACCCTGTTTTTTGACAAGGAAAGTCTTCCTGCTCAAACTGGGCCCCTGGCCCCCGGGTTACAACAACAACGGCTCCCGCATGAGACTTCCTTACAATTTAGCCAGGACCCCCGCTCCCGCCCGACACTTCCTCGCATTTTATTCAGGAGTCGCGCTCTCGCTTGGGACTTCCTTACAATTCATTCAGGAATTGCTCTCCCGGCGCTCTGGAGTCGCGCTCTCGCTGGAGACTTGCTTGCAACTGTTGAAGAATGGCCTTACGTTGGAATTTCGTGCAATTTGCCCAAGCGCAGCGCCCCCGACACCCAGGAGTCGCGCCCGTTGTGGCCCCATATGCATGCCCTTCGTGGCCCCGCTGTCGCCATTTGTGTCCCCCTCACTGTCCTACGTGGCCCAGTTGCTACCCTCAGTGGCCCCATAGTTGCCTTCTGTGGCCCATCATTATCTGCACTTCGTGGCCCCCGCTCGTTCGCGCTCTTCGTGGCCCCATACGCATTCCCTTCGTGTCCCCGCTGTCGCCCTTCGTGGCCTACTTCGTGCCCTTCGTGGCCCTGCTGTCGTTCTCTCTCGCTCTCGCTTTCGCTTGTCGTCGCCGTCGTCGTCGTCGTCGTCGCCGTCGTCTTCGACGTCGTCGTCGTCGTCGTCGTCGTCGTCGTCGTCGTCGGGGTCGGTCCCCTGTCCGTCCCTCTTGGGGTCGGGTCGACGGTCCGCGGCCGCCCCGCCGATCAGCGCTGCCGCTGGCCAGGCCGACGGTCCGCGGCCGCCCCGCCGCTTGCCGGGGCCCGGCCTGCAGGGAAGAAAGGTATACCCCCCAAGAAGGGTTCGATCGAAGACGAAGAGGGCGGGTATGGAGGGTTTGGGAAATACGCGTTATTGGACACTCGAGCACATAAGGGCGAACAGTCTTAAACATGTTGTTGTTGTTGTTGCTGTTGCGGTTGTGGTTGTTGTTTTGTTGTTGCTGTTGTGGTTGTGGTTGTTGTTGTTGCTGCTGTGTTTTGCAATTCGTTTTGTTGTTTGTTGGTTTGTTTGGTCGTTCTGTTCTCCGCGCTGGAAGTCCCGACCCTTTCCCCGGGGCCAGCCGTCCCCCTTTGGCGGTCTCGGGGAAGGGGGGGATCGAAAACGGCGAACCACCGCCGCCTCGACTCGTTTCCGACACGCCGGATGCCTGGGTCCGGGGGAGGGAGCACCGGGAGGGTGCGAGGCCCCTCCCCGGGATCGGATGCCGCGTGCCGGAAGGCTCCTCGCGGGGCAGCCCCGCGGCCAGCAGCCACAGCAGCGCGCCGCGCCCCCCGTCGTCGGCGGGCAGCAGCGTGATGCCCCGCATCATCACGCTCTGCCGCGGCCCACCGCCGCTGGAGAGCGCGCGCGGTTGCGGGCCGCCCGCCCACCCGCCCGCCCTCCTCCTCCTCCTCCGCCTCCTCCGCTTCCTCCTCCTCCTCTTCCTCCTCCTCCTCCTCGTACCTTCTTTTGGATTCTCCTCTTCGGACCACCTTCTCCCACTCCTCCTCCTTTTCCTCTTCCCCCCCGGAGCTCTTCCTCCTCCGTGGAACTCATCCTCCCCGCCTCCTCTTCGGACCTTCTCCTCCTCCTCCGCCTCTTCCTCGGAGTTCCTCCACCGTTTCCTGCTCCTCCTCCTCCTCCTCCTCCACCTCCTCCTCCTCCACTCCACCTCCTCCTCCTCCTCCGCCTCTTCCTCCTCCTCCTCCTCCTCCTCCTCCTCCTCCCTCCTCCTCCTCCTCCTCCTCCTCCTCCTCCTCCTCCTCCTCCTTCTCCTCCTCCCCCCTCTGGCACGGAATGCCTCGCCGGAGTCTCGGTTCGCCAAGGCTCGATTCGCCGGGGCTTGGTTCGCCGGGGCTCGGTTCGCCAGGGCTCGCTTCGCCGGGGCTCGGTTCGCCCGACTTGATTCGCCCAACTAGATTCGCCGAGGCTCGGTTCGCCCAGGCTTGGTTCGCCGTGTCTCGTTTCGCCGGGGCTTGTTTCGCCGGGGCTCGCTTCGCTTGGCACGTGAAGGATCCAGAGCTCGGACGGACCCTGTAACGGGCGGGTCGGGTCGGGCGGGCGCGTCCAGTCGCAGCACCAACGCCTGGCGCAGTGCCATCCTGAGATCATCAAGCCGCAATCGGTTCATATCGTCAAATGCCCGATGCTGGCGCCGATCGCCTCGCAAAGAACCGTGAGCTCAGAGGCGCTCGACACCTTCGGGATCGACAGCAGGACTGTGCCTATCAGACTATCAGGCAATGCGACGCCAGGACGCCGCCATCCCATTATGACGACGACGGTGATGATCGTGGTGGTGATGATGCTGTGGTGGCAACGGTGAAAAGGATGATGATGATGATGATGATGATGATGATGATGATGATGATGATGATGATGATGATGATGATGATGATGATGATACTGAAGAAGAAACTGATGCTGATGATGCTGGTGATGGTGCTGCTGATGATAATGCTGCTGATGCTTATGCAGATGATGGCGATGGTGACGATGACGATGATGATGCTGATCATGATACTGATGCTGTTCTTGATTATGGTGCTGAGGATGGTGGTGCCGATGAGGATGGGGCCGAGGCCGGGGACGACAACGAGGATGATGACTATGGTGATGATGATGACGATGAAGAAACTGATTATACTGATGATGATGTTTAAGATGATGATGCTGATAACAATGATGATGCTGCTGATGATGATCACGATGTTGCAGCTGCAGGGGCTAATGCTGCTGATGATGGGGATAACGATGAAGATGGCGATGATGATGAGGATTATGATGCGGAGGAGGAGGAGGAGAAGGAGGAGGAATATGCGATGGAGGAGGACAATGATCGTTTCGTTTCGTTTCGAGCCGTCCTGCGGGGTGCCACGAGGGCCCGTCGGCGCCAAGCAGAACTTAGAGAAGGAGCGAACCAGACGATTACCTGAGGGTGCGTCGCCATTCAATCCAACCCTTCAGCCCGTCAATCCAAAGGTGCTGAGTGTAGGGTTTGGCAAACCAGTCGAATCCATAACAATTGTATAACTTTCGCTCCCATCTCCAGATGCCGGCAGTCCTGTGGTGCAGCTGGGATCCCAAGGGACGCTCCGTGGAGGACATCCAGGCGCGCTCTCGATACCTATGAACGCGATAGGCACTTCTAGATGAAGAGGCCCAGCTTATGCCCTGGAAATGTCCAACCCAAGCGTGGGGAAGACGTCGGCAGGTCTGGGTCCAGGAATCGATTTCATGACGGGTCCGAATCTCAGAGACAAGGGCCATCGCTGATTTCATAAACTCGGACGCTGTGTCGGCACAAGGAAGGGCGGATCACGAGCCGTAACATGGCATCATGACATTTTGGAATGCGGCTGGGACCAGAGACTGGCAACTGTAGGCTGCCTATACAGTGCGTGAGGGCTGGGCGGGCACATTCATCTAACACCTTGAGGCGCTTGCGCAGGCTTATGTTCTGGTTCGTGATCAGATTCCTATGCGCGGCCCGCGTGCGCCACGCTCGTTGGACTCTATTGCCAACTGCTCCACTGCAGCTACTGTCAAGGGTCAGGGTGCCTCTCACGCGAAACATACCGACATATGTAGGATAAGTGTGGCACCACTTCATCTCATCAACGGGGTCCGCCAGACTGCTTGGATTTAAACTACGTAACCAGACTTCAGTCATGTGCTGGGCTGTTGAAGCCGAGCGGGCCAGGATCCAACAGTTGTTAGCAGCACCTGAACTACGTACCACTGAATCTTCATCGCCTGGCATCGTGCGACAAATCCCCCACGCGTTTTTCTGTTCGACGAAGGCCGTGAAACTTTCGGAGGTCCGCGTCCAAGAAAATATTGCTCAGCTCGGGGGCGACTGGGCCCTCCTGGATGAAGCTTCTCTCTCGGCGGACTCTATCCGTCAAGGGGCTGCCAGGCAGAAGGACGCGGGCGTGGAAATTGCGAGTCTCCCGGATCCAGTAACCGATGGCGACGTGGGACATTCCATGTTCATCAAGCCTCCAAGCAAGAATGTGGCGACTTATATCACCATCAAACTTTCGGGTGCTACCTCCTACAATGACCAAGGACGGGTCCTTACATCCACAAAATGTTTCAACCAGGTGGCGCAAACTATTTATTAGCTCATGGGCTTGGTATGAGCGGCGAACAGCAAACTTGCACTCATATCTGTTCATTTCTAGAGCTTGGCGCTGGGCCTCCAAGAGCACCATGGACAGCACAACCGAAACCAGGGCGATCGGGCGGAACTCGGCAAATCGAGGGGCCTCAGGTTTTTCCGAATCAACTGGGCCACGTGCTCTTGCCAGGCCTTATCAACATACTCAGTGGCATGGTTTCTCAGGCGCAGACGGAGGGCCTCGATGACCATATTCCGGATGCCATCCTCGAACCCCTGGAACATCTCGGCGACGATCATATCGGAATCCGCGCGCGACTTGCTATGCTTGAGCTATCCGATGACTGTTTTCCGGAGGGGGAGGGCGGGCGGAACCTCGGCCTGTCGGCCGTCTGCCGGTCAGTGGCGGTGGGCCCACTCGGGCAGGCTCACGTCGATGGTCGAGTCGCGGAACAGCTCGGCGTAGAAGGCGCGGGTCAGCTCGCCTCGCGCCTTGGTGGTGATCGCGCGATGGCCCTCCTCGGTCCGCAGCTCGAAGACGGGCTTTCCAGCGCGATGGGGTCGCTCTGCCCGTCCTCGCTCGCGCGCGTAGGGCTCGCCTGGCCTTCGTCGCTGGCGGGCCCAGTGGGTGGCGCGCGCGTAGATCAGTCTCCCACGTGCGCAGCTGCTCCAGGCGTTTCAAGTAGAGCAGCTCCGGGTCGCCACCGTCGGCGCCGAAGGGCGTGACCTGCCGCGGCTGCTCCAGCGGCAATGCCCTCCGTCAATCGGGCGATCGATGGGGTGCCCTGCGCGTGGTAGTCCGCCGTGGCCAGCGGCGGGCCCAGCGGGCCAGCCAGGATGTCGCCGCTATCCTCGCGCGCGGTCTCGGCGCACCTGCGGTTGCGGGTTGCGGACTGAATCCGCGCTCGCCCCTGGCGCGGCTGGTCGTGCCCCGCTGCGCCCAATCGCATCCTGCATCTTGGATAGAGTGTGCATCTGTTGTCCGCTCCCCGATTGGCCGGAAAGTCAGCTTGCTCACTGTCGATGTTGCCGCTGTGTTTCTTGGCCCAGCGTGTCTCCAAGTGAAAATATGTCCTTGCGCGCCTCCGCATGTGAACCACCATCGAGGCCAACTCTGCGTGTCCTTTTGGCTGGGGAGTCTCCTTCAATAGACCGCGCGTCGAGTCGGTGATCAGCTGGGCGAGCCTGCCGTCTGGGATGATCGGCTCGGTCATCTCGCGCTGGCCGAGGGTCCCCGGGGGCGCCCCCTCCACTGCGGACAGTTCCCCCGCGTTAGCCGTGATGAGGGCCTGCGCCCGCGAAGCGGCTGTTCTGGGTCGCAGTGGTCACGGGCCCCTACGCCCCCATCATCGGCGCGCCCTGGTCATTTGGGGGGGCTGAGCGGTAGACCGCGAAGCCCCATCCTGCGCTGGGAGCCCGGCGCCGACGCCGCCTTCGCCATCGCGCCGAGCCGTCCGTGACGGTGCCCATCGCGTTGGCCAGGGCGCCTTCCGAGAAGCCGACCGAGCTGGGGAAGTGCCGGGCCCGGGGCACCGCGCAGACCGCCTGGTTGAAAATGTGGGCGCCCTCCAGCTGCCAGGCCGCTGGCTTGCGGGGGAGGGAGCTCCACGGCCTCGGCGTCGGGGTCCAGGTCGATCTCCTCCGGTGTTGGGATGGCCTTGCCCGCGCGGCATCTCAGCAAGAGCGGTGGGTGGTCGCTCTTGGCGGCATCGGTAAAACGGGATTGGCGCGAGATCGATTGAAGCCAGTCGCGATGGCGCAGCAAGACATCGATATGTCCAGGTTTTTTGCGGTTGTCGAAATAGGATGTAGATTGGCTTCATGGTCCCCGCGAGAAAGTGTTCGCTGCCACGAGGTCGAACTCTGTCATCAGGCCGAGGAGCATCCCTCCTCCAAATTATATGCGTGGTAGAATGTTGTCCAAACGTCTCGCCATCGCCTCTGCCCGGGGTGGCTATCAACAGGCGTCGTAACTAGACATTCTCTGAGCTGCTCGAAAGTCTCCGCGTACTCACAGCGGGCGACATGCGAGAACTGGTGGCTCGTGATGAACCGAACTTGCCCCCATCTAGGCCTCTGTGAGTCCAGGGCCACGGGGCGGGCGCGGAAGCTCGGCGGCGACGCGATGGACGGTGCCAACGAGTCATGTAGCGCATCTCTGCCAGGCCCCCACTGGAGGCGACGCATGCACGACGTGGCCGTCGCATCGCTGCTCGGCCCCCCCCACCGCGCGCCATTCTTGAAACGAAATGTCTTTCGCACCGAATTCTGACTGCATATCACCCAGGGGCTGCTGCCTTCTGCGTCCGCGGACCCCTGTCACATTCCGCCCAAAAACTGTGGGGCCCCAGACGTCCCCGGCGAAGCGGGGGCCCCCGGACTTGGATCGCTGCTGCTTTGGCGGTCGTTGATTTCACCGAGCCGCTCAGGCAACTTCAGCTCCGCCAGCTCCTGGGCCAGCGGCGCCGCGGCCATCGGGTCGGAGCGGATATCCAGCTCCTTCGTCTGCTTTGGCTTCTGAAGAATCCAGATCGGTCTCTCCGTTGCGTGTTGGCGAAAGACGACCTGGCCTCGGTCCCAGTCGCTGTCGACGTTCTTCATCTCGTTGGGCTCCGCGCGCGGCGCTTTGCGGCCCGGCGTGGCAACTCCACCTCGTGCGGCTCCTGGTCCACCTTGTGCCACAGCTTGTCGTTCTTCGCACCTGGGCAAAGGATCTTGTAACCTGTTCGCCTTCATGAACTCCCACATTTGTCGATTTCGGGCGAACGCGACCTTCGCCTGGTCACGAAACCTGCCAACTCAGAATTTTTCCGTGGTTTCCTGGTCGCGTGGTGGTTTGGTTGCGGACAGCTGGCTCGCGAGATGCTTCTCGATCTCATCCTTGTCCCGCGTCCCAGGAGGGCCCGCCGCGAGCGCCGCGTGCTCAGTGTTCTCCCCCAACCGTCGGTGGCGGCATATGCGGGTTGCCTCCGCCCTCCTGCTGCTGCGGCTGCTGCTGCTGTCTCATGCAGTCTCCCCGCGGGCCCTGCTGCCCCGGCTGGCCGGCTCCGAGACCTGGGCGGGCACCGCGCTGACTGAACTGGCTGCTGAAGATGGCGGTCTTGAAGATTCCAGCGCCGACAGTCTCGCCGCTTGCGCCCTCGTGTCCGCCTGCAGCGTAGCGGCGCGCCTCGAACTGGCCGACGCAGTCGCCTCGAGGCCCGAGACCGACGTCTGAATGGCATCGATCCTGCTGCCCATGCCCCACTCTATGATGTACTGCGCCAGCGCCGCCTGCGCGGGGTCCGAGGGAGGTGGTGGCTGCTGCTGGGCTCGTCGCGGCCGCCTCTCGCGCTGGCGCCTCTGTTCAGGTCCCCCCTCTCCGCTGGGGCCTGTCAAATCCACCGCGTCGAAGGCGGCCTCGCCCCCCGTCCTCGGTCGAACCTGGCGGTCCAGAGGCTGTCCGTCGGCAGGGGCCGCAGCCCGCGCGGGGGAGGCGGCGGCCGTCGCAAGCAGCTGCAACATGCGCGCTCTCGCGAAGAAGCTCGACTCGAACTGACTGAGAGGAAAAGCGGCGCGCCTCGCTCTGGAGCCCAAATTGCTGGGATAATGATGATGACGACGAGGGCGATGATGATGATGATGATGATGATGATGATGATGATGATGATGATGATGATGATGATGATGATGATGATGAGGATGGTGATGATGATGATGGTGCTGATGATAAGGATGATGATCAGGATGACGGCGACGACGACGATGATGATGATTAGATGATGATGACGATGATGATGATCGTGGCGATGATGATGATCCACGACTCCCTGGAATGTAAGCGCTGCTAACCTCTGGGCCTCGCTGACTTACAGTGCGCGGCGTCGCCAGCGATGACGAACTTGGGCAGCGGCCGCGGCCCTCGGGCGGCAGCGAGCGAGGCCGCTGCTCCTCGGCCTCGGCGCGCCCCGCTCGCTCGCGCCAGCGGTTGGGGCCGCCCCGGCAGCTCTCCGCCGCGCTTCGTGGGGCGGAGGCCCCTTGGCAGCAGCTTTGGGGCCTCGGCCTGGCGGCCCCAGGCGCCGGCAGCAGGGGTCGCGCAGCTTCGCGACGCGCGCGCCTTCGGCGAAGTAGCCACAGGCAGCGCAGTAGACGGAGGGCCGCGTTCCACCAACGCTTCTGCGCCGCCCTCGCCCGCTGCGCGCCGCGCGGCGCCTCTGCGGGGCCCTCGGCCGATCGTACGCACGGCTGAGCGCTTGCGCCTGCGCTCGCGCGAGTGCCTGGGCCAGCGCCGCCGCCCGGGCCCGCGTTCGCGGCCTTCGTGCGCGCCACCGCAGCAGCATCAGCACCTCCAGGGGGGACTGCGACCGAGGCTCACGCCCGCTGCCGCCGGCGGACCGTCCGCTGCGGAGGTCCGATCTCCGCCGTCACGCCCCCGCTCGTGGCGAGGCCCGCCTTGGTCGCCTCTCCCGCGAGCAAATGCAGAGGACGCTGCTGCCGTCGCCGCTGCGGCGCGCAGCGCTACCCCCGCCAGCTCTGGTCCAACGCGCTGCGTGCCGCTCGTCCAATGGGACTCGCCGCCCTGCTGCTTGCCCCCGCGATTGTCATCGGCGGGGTCGGCCCAGCAGGCTGCCGCGCAGTTGCAGGCGCGATCGACGGCTTGCCTGGCGCCTGGTTGCCAGACGGTGGCTCTGGCAATCGCCCGCGCGAGGTCGCCGCGGCCGCCGGGCAGGGCGCCGCGCGCCCCGCAAGTGCGGTCGGGGGGTCGCCAGGCACCATATATCTGGACGGCGGCCCTGGCACCGCCCCAACCGGGCTGTTGGGGCCGCCAGGCAGGCTGCCTTGCGCCCTGGCGCGGACGAGGGCTCTCCCGGCGCTGGGTTGCCAGACGGCGGCTCTGGAAACCGCCAGCGCGAGGCCGCCCTGATGATGATGATGATGATGATGATGATGATGATGATGATGATGATGATGCTGTTGTCGATGACGATGTTGATGATGATGAGGATGATGGTGTGGACAATGATCATGGTGATGATGACGATGATGATGGTGACGATGCTGCTGCTGCCGATCATGATGCTGCTGGTGCTAAGAATGGTGATGCTGCTGATGCGGCTGCTGATGAGGACAGTGATGACGATGATATCGATGATCATGGTGAAGCTGTTGATGCAGATGATCATGATGATGGTGATGACGATGGTACTGATGGTGATGATGATGATGATGATGATGATGATGATGACGATGATGATGATGATGATGATGATGATGATAAGGAGGGCGATGACGATGACGATGATGCCGATGCTGCTGATGATATGATGATGTGGATGATGCTGCTGGTGGTAGCGATGGTATTGATGCTGATGATACGGATGATGGTGATGATGATGATGCTGATGACGATGCTGATGCTGCCGATGATGCTACTGCTGGTAATGCTGATGCTGCCGCTGATGATGATGATGATGGTTATGAAAATGGTGGTGAGGATAAGGCTGCTGCTGCTGATGATAATGCTGCTGATAATGACGCTGACGATGACGATGGCGATGATGCTGATGATGCTGCTGCTGATGAAGATGATGCTGCTGATGATGCTGCTGATGATGACGATGATGATGATGCTGATGATTATGTTTATGATTATTATGATGCTGCTGATGATGATGATGCTGATGCTGATGAAGATGAAGATGATGATGATGATGATGATGATGATGATGATGATGATGATGAGGATGAGGATGAGGATGATGATGATGATGATGATGATGATGATGATGACGATGATGATGATGGTGCTGATGATGATGGTGATGCTGCGGCTGCTGCTGCTGCTGCTGATCATGCAGATGAGGAAGAGGAGGCATAAAAGGGAAAAAGTTGAGGGAGGAGCAAAGGAACATTCGGTTGAGGACGACGAGTTCGAGTGTGCCTAGGGGAGGCGGCCAAGGAGAACGAGAAGGACGAGGAGGAGGAGGAGGAGGAGGAGGAGGAGGAGGAGGAGGGGCAGGAGGAGGAGGACGAGGAGGCACAAAACTGGGAGGAGGAGGAGGCGGAGGAGGGGGAGGAAGAGAAGGAATATAAGGAGAAGGAGGAGGAGGAGGGAGAGGAGGAGGAGGGAGGAGGAGAGGAGGAGGAGGAGGAGGAGGAGGAGGAGGAGAAGGAGAAAAAGTCGGTTGAGGGGGAGGAGGAGGAGGACTATCAGAGAGGAGGAAGAGGAGGAGGAGGAGGAGGAGGAGGAGGAGGAGGAGGAGGAGGAGGAGGAGAGGAGGAGGAGGAGGAGGAGGAGGAGGAGGAGGAGGAGGAGGAGGAGGAGGAGGAGGAGGAGGAGAAGGAGGGGAGGAGGAGGAGGAGGAGGAGGAGGATAATAAGGAGGAGGAGCAGGAGGAGAAGGGGGGGAGGGGCAGGAGGAGGGAGGAGGAGAAGGAGGAGGAGTAGGAGAGGAGGAGGAGGAGGAGGAGGGGGAGGAGAGGAGGGATAGCAGGAGGATGATTATGATGATGAGGAAGAGGAGGAGGAGGAGGAGGAGGAGGAGGAGGAGGAGGAGGAGGAGGAGGAGGAGGAGGATGGAGGGGGAGTAGGAGGAAGAGGAGGAGGAGGAGGAGGAGGAGGAGAAGCAGATGGAGGAGAAGGCGGCTGAGGAGGAGGAAGAGGAGGAGGAGGAGGAGGAGGAGGAGGAGGAGGAGGAGGAGGAGGAGGAGAGATTCGTAGGAGGAGGATCAGGAGGGGGAAAAGGATGGGGAAAGAGGAGGAGGAGGAATGAACAGGAGGAACAACGACGCCCGCCTGTACTCGCCCCCGGCGGCGACCAGGAACTTCTTGGGCCTGGAGTCCGCTGGCGCTCAGCGCGATCGCTGGAGGCCAAGAGGGGAGGCGCACCAGCGAACCCGCCGCGGGCGCACTCCAGGGGGCCTCTGCTTCTCCCTGCCATGCCCTCCCCTCGCCCTCTTCGGCTGTCCTCCTCCTCTTTCTCCTCCTGCTCCTCTTTCTCCTGCTCCTCCCTCTTCTGCTCATTTTCGCCTTCTCCTCCTCCTCCTGCCCCTCCCTCCTCTGGCCCATGGTCGGAGGATGGGAGATGGCGAGCATCGGCGCTCAAAACGTTTGTGCGTCCACCTTCGTGTCGCACCAGGGAGGCCAGAGCCACATCGATAGCATCTTCCTTCCTCAGGCGCTGGTTCTTATAGTTGAGCAGGCGAAGAATGTATCGAACTCGGCTCGCAAACAACAACCACAACAACGAACAGACCGCCGGAAAGATTCGTGACCTCAGCCAACAGATCAGGAAGTGGAGCCGGCAGCATTGGCAGGATATCCACAAGAGGAACTGCGATGAGACCAAGAGGGCAGCAGCTGAGCAGAATAACTGCCTAGTTCAGTAATTGGCATGTCTCCTGGCGCGCCGCAAAAAAGGTCCGAGGCATCGCCGCTTCGCGGCCGTCCCAAAATCTGCGGCCTCGGCGACTAGCTGTGCCACACGAATGCAGTTGGAGCCGCTACGAGGTGGCTGCGCAGCGGTCGTCAAGACCCCGTTCGAGATCGTCTCAGACATTGATTCACAGTCGCGCGAACGTATGGACCACGCAGAAGCATTATATCTGGCGGCAGGAGATTGGAGCTGCCTAACTAAAAGTGTGTGGCGTCTTAGATCCTGGAGGGCATGGCCTCGATGGAGCGTTCCGCCCTGATGCCTCAGGCTCTTGACGCCCCCCGACTGGACCAATGATCGAAAGCTCCAGGCCCGCACTGCGCCAGGAAACGAGATCGATATCCCCGCGGTAGACTGCACCAAGGACATGCGTAATGCTCTGGCCTCCTGCCATCAGTGTCGAAGGCACCCAATCTCATGGAGCTCAGGCCAAGCTGCGAACATCCCGATGCACAACGTGACGTTGGACACGAGGGGAGAAATGCACCGTGGTGATGTGCAACCTGGGCAGAACTTTTCACGGCGCCGCGTTGGCGCGCAAAGGCCCGCAATGGGGCCCCCCTCCACCTGGATCCTCCACGGCAGGCTTCGGAAGATGATGAGGAGGGAAACGGCAAGGAGGGGTCAATCAGCAAGCAACTTTCGTTTACAAGCGACACGTATCTCCCATCTTCAGCGGTGCCACGGCGCCGTCAATGCGTACTACACGGCGAGCCACGAGGCCATCCGAAATTGCGTGGGCTCCTGTTGCGGTCGTGGGACCAACATCTTCATCACGGACAGGATCCTGTTTAACAGCTTTCTCCTGGAAGACGAGGCTGGAGCCTTCTGGCAACAGACCAGGAGCGGCCTCTTCCCTGGGGGCACAGGAGCAACGCAACTCTTTTGTCGGACCTACTCCGAGCCAGTGTTGGAGTGTTTCGCAAAGTCGACGGTGATTAGGCACAGGCTCCCTTTCCTTGAGGCAGCGTTGCCCTGGGATGGCGAGTGGTTTGAGCAATTCGCTACGGCTGGCTACGTCGATGACGTTTCCAGCAAGATATTGGAGGAAGCGGACGGTGACCCACAAAAGACGATACCGAGAGCGGTGCAAACACGGAACAACAAGAGAACATTTGTTATCTCAGAGGCCGTGAGGCCCACATGGTGCAGCTCAAACTCTGCTGCGGCCTAATCAAAGGAATGGCGGGGCGCACTCTGCATCACTGCGGGTATCTTGGCGTCCTGCAAGCGGCAACCTTTAACACCTGGGCCGGAGCTACTGAAGAGGCTGGACGAGCTTAATTCCTCGTTTCGCAACGCGGGCTTATGTCGCCGCGCCGCCTGTTCTGAACGCGCCCAATTAGAGGAAGTCGGCACCGTGGCAAGACCCACGGCAAACCCTGCGTCCGAGGCGGAATTTGCCCTGGTGGTCGAGGCGCCCTCTCAAAGACGGAAGGCCGCGCGTCGGAACAAACGGCGCGGCGATATATTGTGGTATTCTGACGCACCTTTCAGCATCAAGGGGGCCATGCTTAATGGGCTCCTGGTGAACACAACGGTGTCTGGGATGGAGGTTGTCGGTCACGGGTCGGGGCCACTGACGGAGGGGGGTTTTAAGCACCTTCTGATCTACATCTTGAAGAAGTGCAGGGCCATCTTCACGGGCACCTCGTCATGGGACTCAGGAGCCTAGCATCGTAGGTTCGAACACCGTCATACCGCTCTTCGGAGGTTAAACTGGCCCCACTATTCCTGGAACTCCAGATTCGGCGGTTGATGTGGTAGCAGAACATGGGATCTCATAAAACTGACAACGCTCAATATCTAGCAATCGTATTCGGGAAAATCAAGTTCGACGACCCGATTTCACATCGGAAGGTAGGCTGGCCGACGCGGCCAAACTGTGGGCAAGCACCAACTTATCTTGATAAGCTCCAGGGGATCGACGCCGGGGCAAATTTACATGCATGGTAATCTCCAACCTCCATGCTTTTTGAGGGCGCCACCGACTTGTGCACCATTGACCTTGATGAGCTCCGCGCTCGCAGCTGCAATCGATTCCCATCATCCTGAAGCCGAGGGTGAAGTGCACAGGTGCGACGTGTGATCGGGCGATGGGAATTTGTGCAAGACTTTTTCTGGCCGTCAAACAACAATTATACGCACGCGTTGCGGCGGCGGTGGGTGGGGCACACGGGCGGGCACACATAGCAAAGGCCGTCACGAACACCAGCTATTGCGTACTATGCGGGAGCATGTTTCGTGATCAAAATGTCGCTCGTCAGTGCGTCGTCGCTTCCCCGGATAGACAATGCTGTCCAACGGAACGGGCGCGATTCAACACTCCCTTCAAACGATGCGACAGTGGACGTGATGCAACCCCTACTGGCTCAACTCGAAGGTCGAGTAAGCACGCTCGAGAACGAAATGCAAACGACTTTGCTCATGAACAGGACGAGTCTGTTGGCCGACGCGATGGCCATCCAAAACCAAGCGGTCCTCAAACTTCGAACAGATCAGCCAGACCACAATCACGGGTCCCCAGCATCCCATTGGGTTTCAAGGGTTCTCGGCGTTACCTTGGGCAACGAACATAAGGACGCAGCAGCCAAGTTTCAGATGGTTCTGGCAGGATGGGCTCGGCTCCGCACAATATTGGACAAGGCAGGACCCACAGCGGCCGCGAGGTGGGTCAAAGAAATGATGATGCTGATCACGTTCCAGAAGCCAAGCAAAGAGATCAAGTTCCGCATTGTGTACAGCTTCCAAAAGGAACTCGTGCTTCCAAAGCAGACGGAAAATCACGACCTGGCGATGAACGCGCCGGATTAGGGGGGGATCCAAACCCGCTGCACAATCCACACTGGTGGAGACACCCACGGAGCACTACGGCATGCCGAGGCAACGACTGCTAGTCGACGTCATGATCACGGAGGCGCTGCGCTCGATGGGGGCGCAGGTAATATGTCAGGGCGAGCACCTCGAAGCAACATGGTGCGACAGGTTGGCCCTGGAAAAGGGCGCCGTGCATAAACTATAGGAGTCATGACTATTCCTGTGGGTCAATTCAATGGGGGATCAAACGGCACATGGACAAACCATACCTTTGGTACCGCTGCTGCTCTACCTGTTGACGGTGGGGCACAGATCTGATTAGCTTCAATGGCGAGCTGAAAGCCTGTTTCCACCTGCGCCTCAATGACGCGCGGAAGGTCATGGGACACGGCCAGGAGCGGTGTTCAAGAATGTGCCCCCGTGACATGCTGCAAGCCCCAATCCCCATCCAATGTATCGCGGGTGTGAATGGGATATTCGACCTTGTGTGCAACGCGAATGCTAATGGCACCGCGAGTGCTAATGACGCTCGGATTCGAGCCCGTGCCGTATATCTACGGCGTACCTGAGGCTCTCGCCACGGGCCGCCCCCCCCCGCTGGCGCAACAACCCGCGCATCATCCTCGCTGGCCAGCATTGGGATTTGACGCGAGAGGGGCAGGAGCGCTGGCCCTTCCACCACCGAGAGCAGAGGCCAGAAGTGCTCCTCCGAGGAGTTCCTCGACTGGGCAAGCGAGAGAAGACAGCCATCTTTTCTCCCTTTGCATGTTGCGTGCTTCAAAGGGGAGTCCGAGCACTCCTCGGGCCCGCTCGGGACCTCATTGTGAGATCCTGTGGCCTGGCACCCCCAACGCCCGCGCGCAGTCCTCCTGCGACTTCGCGGCGAGGGTGCTTGGCCACTGCTGCAGTCCTTGCGGCAGCAGTCCTCGCAAGAGTCGTGACCTCGCCATCCTTTCTCCCTTCCTCCCCCCTTCCCCCTGCTCCGCCCGCCCTTCGCCATTCGCCCTCGCCCTCGCCGCTCCCTCCTGCCGCCCTCTCCTCCTCTCCTCTTCCCGCCGCTCCCTCCCCCTCCCCCCTCTCCCCCTCCCCCTCCCCCTCCTCCTCCTCCTCCTCCTCCTCCTCCTCCTCCTCCTGTCCTCCTTCCCTCCCTACGGCCGGGAACTTTTGTTTAGCGTGCCGCGGCGGCGGCGGTGGTCCCGTTTGACGTCGGGGGGATCAGGAAGTGGTTAGCATGTCGCGCCGAAGCGTGGTGGGCCAAACTGGCGGCGCGGCACGCTAAACAGAAATTCCTGACCGTACGCCCCCTCGTGTCTGATAGCCAATCAGCCTCTCGAGCCAGTGGCAATACGTGCGAGCGCCACGACACGGTCAGACACCAACGACCATGGCAGCTGGCCCAATCGAGCGATCATCGGCCTGACTGCCAAATGGCCTTTGGCCCGAAAGCCTTCCCTCCTCCCCGCTTCCCCCTGCCCTCCCCTCTGTCTATCCGCATCATTCTCCGCCTACTCCTTGTCCTGACCCTTCCCTTCCCCTTTCCTTTCTTTGCTCTTCCACTCCTTCCTTCTTCCTCCCAAATCCGTTGTCTTTACAACTAACGTTTCCCAATCGGACCCCCAAACGTGTCGGTACGGCGGGCGGGCATTTCGACTAAGACTTCCTCACCATTCATGATCTTGACGCTTGAAATTCTAAACAGTTTCAAAGATGGAAGGCGACCCGTTTTCAAAAACTGGCTCTCGCCTTAGCGCCGCGCGCATTTGTCTTACACTATTGCAACAATTTCAAGCGTGGAGGGCGGCTGGTTTTCAGAATGTGGCTGTCGCATTAGCGCCGCGCACCATCGTCTTAATAACTTGAAGCAGTTTCAAGGATGGAGGACAATTCCTTTCCAAAAGTTGGCAATCGCCTTAGCGCCGCGCACGTTCGTCGTGCAATGTAAAGCAATTCAGAGGGTTTGTATTGTTGAACCCCCAGGAATGGTGTTCTTCCAGGATTGTCAGTCCTCAACAGTCACGTTGGCTCGTTGAGTTGAAGTCCCAGGAGTGTTCTGGCACGGTTGAGGATAGTGAGGAAGCAACAGTCGCGCTGATTCGCGGCGTTGAAGTCCCATGACTTGTGTTTTGGCACGGGTGGGGATTCTCAGGCAGTCGTCTTCAAGCCTGTGAAGAGGAAGCTTGGATGGAGGGTTTATTGCAACACCGTTTACGCGCCTTGGAATTACTGTGGTCCTCCTCCTCTTCGTCCTCCTTGCCCCCTGCTCCCCCTCCGGTGTTATTCTGACTTATATCCTTGCTCCTCTGCTTCTCATCCGTCTTCGCCACCTCCCCTCCTAGTCCTGGTTGCACCCGACCAAGAAGAGAGGCAGGATGCCCATTTCGGCCGTTCCATGTTCTGGACTGGTTTTCGCTGGCGAGGCCTGCGTGCTCAGTGTTTCAAGCATGACTATCTCGAAGTCAACAAACCTCTGCTTCACTGCGTTGATTAACTTGGGTCGGCTGTGATTTTGCCAATCTAAGCTCGCATCTGGATGTGATTCACATGAGCAGCGTGACTGGCTTTGATCGCAATCTTCATGCAGCTATCGTTGCCGTCTTCTGTGGCCAGCCAACAGATTTGATGGGGCGGTTCCAAGTGGAGGTCGTGCTTCCGCAAATATGTGTGCTTGAACTGCGGCCATGTTAACGTCGCTGCGCTACCGAAACCATGCAAACTCCCCAGAAAGTGATACATGCACCCGGTGAGCGAGGTTTCACTTCGCAGATGCGTACGGCTCACCGCATGCTAGAGGCTAATAACAATCGAACCAAAGTGCGATCTATACGCACACATACCCTAGTCACCAGGACTGGTGTATTCTAACAATTGCGCGTCTTCCTTCTCCTCCTCCTCCCCCTCCTGCCCTGCCTCCTGCTGCTCCTCCTCTTGCCTGCACCCATCCAAGATGATGCTGGTCAAGGGAAGGACGATGATACTGATGATGGTGATGGCTGGGAAGAAATTGCGGAGGTTGGGGGGACCTTCGGCGCTGCAGCGCGGCAGCTGTTTGCTCGGATGTTCGCTGGCCGCGGAGCTTCGCTGTCGCGGGGCCACGCGGTGGCCGCCGAACTCTGGCCCGGAGCCCCTTCCTCCCCCGCATTCTCCTGTCTTCCTCCTCCTCCTCCTCCGCCTGTTCCACCTCCCGCCCCGTCCCTCTTCCCCTTTCCGTCCTCCTCCTCTTTCCTCCTGCTTCGTCTTCGTCGGTTCCTCTTGCTCTTCCTTCTCCTCATGGTCTTACTTACCCTCGTATTCCTCGCCCTTGCCATTTCTACTCCGCTACTTTCCCCCCTCATCTTCTGCTGCTTATCCTCCTCCTCCTCCTCCTCCGCGACCTCCTCCTCCCTCCCTCTACCTTCTCCCCCTCTTACGTCTCCGCTTCCTCCTTTATCGCATCCTCCTGATCCTCTTTTTCCCGTTTGTCCCGTTATGTACGCTCACTTTCTCCTCCTCCTCCTCCTCCTCCTCCTCCTCCTTCTCCTCCTCCCTCCTCCCTCCTCCCTCCTCCTCCTCCTCCCCCTCTTCCTACCTCTCACGAGTTACTGCTGCTTGGCTCAGGGATGCCACGGCACGGCGCCAGCCTGTGACATAGGCGTTGCGCTCGCCGCGCTTGGGCACGTGTAGCAGCGTCTCGGCCTGGCTCTAACGGTGCCTCCTCTTCTTCCTCCGCCGCTTCCTCCTCCTTCTCCTCCTCCTTCTCCTCCTCCTCCTCCTCCTCCTCCTCCTCGTCCTCCTCCTCCTCCTCCTCTCTCTTCCCTCCTCCCTCCTCCGTCCTCTCTCCTCCTCCTCCTCCTCCTCTCCTCCTCCATCACTCCTCTCCCACCTCCCTCCTCCTCCCTCTCCTCCCCTCTCCTTCTCCTCCTCCTCCTCCTCCTCCTCCTCCTCCCCCTCCTCCTCTTATTCCTTCTTTTTCTCCTCCCCCCTCCTCCTCCTTCGTCTCATACGGCTTCTCGAAGGACGTCATGCGCTTTTCGGATGTTCCAGGATGAGGAGTGTCAGGAAGAGGTCCTCGGTCCCTCTTGGTACGCCTTCCTCTTTCCCCTTCTCTTCCCGCCTCCTCCTCCTCCTCATCCTTCTTCTCCCTCTCGTTATTCAGGACCTCGTCCTCTCCCCTGCCCACTTCTCATCCAACCTCTCTCCCTCCTTCCGCAGCCACTGTGGCTTAGCAGCCAGCTGGGCGCATCACTTTCTTAGCCTTCTGATGCTCCGTGTCCTTGCCATCGATGGACACGCCCCATCATCGTGCCTTACCATGTGCTGGCCTGCATTCCCGATTTCGCATCCGGTGCTCCTCGGCGCGTCAGTGAGCAGTCCAAGCCCAAAGCTTCCAGTTTACTGTCGCTGGCCCGAGCGGTGTTGGCTTTGGCCGATCTCAAACCTGAGGTTGCCGCTGGCTCCTCTTTTGCTACGCGTCTGCGCGCAAGGCACCTCGGCGCGGGCGCTAGTCCCAGGCTCCTCCTCAGGATGAGAAGGAGAAAGCTGAGTAAGAACAGCAGAGGGTGTAGGAACGAGAGCCATGCACCCCACTCGAAGGAACCTTCGAGACGGCACAGTGGATCCCCCTCCCCTCTCCAGGGGCCTGGCTCTTCCAGTTCACCCGCACCTCGGTCATGTCCTGGCCGTCCCTCCTGGGCATGAGCCAGAGCAGGCTGCACGGGTGCCTCGGGGCGGAGGAGCGACGAAAAGGAGGGCGAAGAAGGAACAGGACTTTTTCTTCCTCCTGACCAGGACCAGCTTCCCGACGCCTCCAGTCGACTCGAAAAACCTCTGGACCCTCCCTGGAGACCTCTGGGGGAACCCCGACGTCGGACGCATTCTGTTGTTCTGCAATCTGGCTGCAGCCCGCGGCCGTGACCTTTTCACGACGCGAGGATGTCAGGGACGACAGGAACAGCGGGGGGGAGGAACCAGCCCCCTCGGGCACGGCTCTGTGCAAGCTGCACGGGTGCCTGGGGTCGGGTGGGCCGCCAACCCGTCCATCCTGTTCCCTATCCACCCGGCGGGCGGAGGACTTGAGGGACCCATGAAGCCGATAAGGGGCTGGAAGCAACCATTATTTTTTACCCTGTCTTCCATACACATGTTGTGCTACAGTGTGGCGTGCTTTCATGTGTTACGCTGTGCTGTGCTTCGTGCATCCCTGTTTTAGGTTGTTCTATGCTGTGCTATGATCAGCTGTGGTACACGTTCCTATCACTTCTCCTTCTCCTACCCCCACCCTCTTCCTCCTCCTCTCCCTTTCCCCTCCTCCCTCCTGCACCCTGCTCCCGCTTTACTTTCCTCTCTTTTCCATCCTCCTTCTTCTGCTCCTGCTCCTGCTGCTGCTCTTCATCCTTCTCTCCGCGCCCCCTCCTGCTCCAACCCCCCTCCTCCCTCCTCCTTCCTGCTCCTCGGGGCTGTGCGGGATAGAAATGCTACTGCTACTGTTTTGGAGCGGAAAGCTGGAAGCTCCACGCACGTGGCCCAAACGGCCCCTGACGGCGCCAGCTGGAACATCACGCTCCCGCCGCATCGATCCGAACCTGCTCCGCCGCCCCCTCCCCCTTCTCCTGCGGCGGCGGCGCGCCGCGTCTCTCCGACCGCCACGTGCCCCCAGAGGGACGGCTGCCGCACCGCGCCAGACACGCACGCGAGAACACGCGCCGAGCGCGCCCGTGCCAGACGCGAGCTCGACGTCTGTCTCTCGGGCGCGCAGCTTTTGCGCGTGGGGCGCTCGCCACGCGCAAGTTCGATATCGCCTCCAGAAGACGCCCGCATGCGTGAAGACACGTGTTCCAACGTACGCGCGCTCATCGGGAGGAGGAGGAGGAGGAGGAGGAGGAGGAGGAGGAGGAGGAGGAGGAGGAGGAGGAGGAGGAGGAGGAGGAGGAGGCCCACAGCGGCAGGTGGACTCCAAGACGCAGACGTCCCCCCCACCCCCCCCCTCCCTCTGGGGCCCGTGATCCTGCATGTGGAGAATCCGCCCGGCAACCAGGTGCGAAGCAAGCGTGCCGGACGCATGTTCGATACTCCCCCCTTTCGGGCACGTTAGCTTCACGTGTGACGAATCCGCTGGCCGCATGTTGCCCCATCTCCCTTCTCCCCCTCCCCCCTCCCTGCCCCCCCCCCCCCCCGCCTTTGGCGTCAACACGCGTGAGAAACGCGCCAGATACACGCGCGCCCCGTCCCTACGCATATGTGGCGTACGAAGAGTCCGCCGGCCGCACGGCCGGTACCCGCCTTTGGTGCCCACATGCGTGAAAGCACGTGCGACGTGCACGCGTGCCAGACGCATATTCGATGTCATCATTCCGCACATGTACTCTTTACATGTAAAGAGCCCGCCAGCCGCATGTTCGATACCCGTCTTTGGAGCGTATACGTGCAAAAGCAGGCGCCAAACGCGCGAATGCCGAGCGGATGATCGATACCCATCGCGTGGCGGCCTCAGGCCAGCAGCCGAGCAGCCCTCTTGGGAGTCCTCTCGGGGCTTTCTTGGGGCGTCTTGGGGGCCTCTAGGGTCGTTTTGGCTTGTGGCCTTCTTGAGCCGTCTTGGGCGACTCTGGGGCCGTCCAGGGGTCAGCTTGGACGCTCTCTTAGATCTCTCTTGCGTTGTCTTGTTGCCCTCTTTAGTCATCCTACGTCTCTCTTGGGCGGTTCTGGGAGCTTCTTGGGCCGTCTTAGGGCGATTTGGAAGGCCTTCGGGCTAGGTTGGGCGATCAGAAGGCCGGACCACAATAAAAACTTACAGGGGAATCATTACATTGTGCATCTTGGAGCTCTCTTGGGGCCCCTGTGGGCTTTCTTGGTAGACTCTGGGGCCGTCTGGGGCTATTTGGATGTTCGCTCAAAGTTTTCTTGGCCGTCTTGGGCCGCTCCTAGGCTGGGTCTCCTTCGGACCGTCTTGGAACATCTGGGGATGACTCGGGAGACCCCTCGGGCCGTTTGGGCGGTCGGAAGGCCGAGACAGCGGAGCGCAACAACATTACCAAACCAGTGGAAGTCATGCACACTTGAAAGAGATTTGCCTCGGGATGTCTTCTTGGGAATGCTCTCGAGGCCCTTTTGGGGCGTCTTGGGGGCCTCTGAGACTGCCTTGGGCTTGTCTGAGGCCGCCTTGGAGGCATCTGAAGCTTTTCCCACCAGCCCTTTGGGCTGAGGTGGTCTAGCGTTCTTTTTCTTCCTCTTCCAAGAGCCCCTTTCTTTCCAGGAGGTTGAACCCCTTCCCCCCCTCCTGGAGCTTTTTGGGGGGCGGGCCGCGACGTATTAGAGGGTACTCTGGATGAGCATGTATCAAGGGGCGGGGGCGATTGACCTTCCGACGGAGCTCGCCCTTCCCCTCCGTCCCCCCTCCTCCTCCTCCTCCTCCTCCTCCTCCTCCTCCTCCTCTTCCCTCTCCTCCCTCCTCCTCCTCCTCCCCCTCCTCCTCCCTCCTCCTCCTCCTCCTCCCTCCTCCTCCTCCCCTCTCCTCCTCCTCCTCCTCCCCCTCCCCCCTCCTCCTCCTCCTCCTCCTCCTCCTCCTCCTCCTCCTCCTCATCCTCCACGTCCTCCTCCTCCTCCTCCTCCTCCTCCTCCTTCAACCCCACTCCGCCCGTTCCGACAGTAAGTGCCCCCCCCGTGCATCCAGGGGGGGGGGGCGATTATTGCCCCATCCAGAGTGGAGGCCTCCCAGATGGTGCCGAGTAGATGGGGTCGGAGGCTCACGCCGCATCGGCGATGCATCGACGATGCGTCGGCGACGTCGTCGATGTATCAGCCACGTCGGCGTGGAGAGGAGCGGGCTCCGTTCGCTGGGTCCTAGATGGGCTCTTTTAGGGCAGGGGGTCCCAAGGACGAGGTGCCTCGCACACTGTCAAATCCACCCTCGGACCCCTTCCCATCCCTGGGACCCCGCCCTTCAGGGCCCCACAGCTTCGAACCGCCGATCCACATCGGGCCGCGTCGCCGATGCATCGCCGATGCTGCGGCGCGATCCTCCGACCCCACTGGCTCCGACCCCCAGCTCCGGGGGGGCCTAGCCAGGCGCAGGGGGGGCGCTCTCTGCGCGGGCCCGCGGACGTGGGCCTCGCCACCCCTCCCCTCGCCGTGAGCAAGAATGCAGTTTGGGCGGTGACCTAAGGAGCTCGAAATCAGGAACGAGGCACCCCCTGTTTTCCCATAGGTTGAACTTTTCGATTGCCAGTCGAAAACCTGCGGGATATCAGAGGCGCGCTGTGAAACAGCCGAGGAGCACTGAGACCCTCCCCGACGACAAGGGCTGCAGCCCGACGGGAGGTCTTCGCCAGTTTTCGGCCTCCGGGGGCCCCCGCCAAGCCCCGGGGCCGTCAGGGACACGGCTCGGGAGGAGGAGCCCGTCCCAGGGGAAGGGTCCGGACAGGTCCGCGCTGCGAAGAAAACACGACAGAAGGACGTCGGCGGTCTGGGGACAAGGTGGAGCGAGGCAGAGTCGCGCTCGTCTTGCCGTTCGCCAGCCTCGCCCCCTCCTCCTCCTCGTCGGGCATTCGGGCTCGCTCCGGAGAGCCGGTTATCGTTCCGCTGGTGGCGGCGGAGTTGGCGTGCCCTGAGATCTGACGTCGTGAACAAGTTACATCATCGTGAGAAGTCACGACTGAAGCCTTAGACCCCGCCGTTCTGCGGCATTTTTTCGAGCCGGATAGATCTGTGAGGGTCCCGGGGCCCGAAACCGGGCGAACACGCCTGCTCCGAAAAAGTTGCAACGCCCAGATCTCAAGGTTGGTATGCGTGATCCCTCCCGGCGCCTGGGGGGGCGGGTCTTCACCCGACTGCCAAGCGTGCCCACATCCGTCTGCTTGCCGTTGAACGGGCCGCAGATCCGGCTCAGGAGCTCGAACTGCTCGCGAGTCTTGATGCCGGTGAAGCAGCTCTCCTGCGGGGCCGGGCTGCAGGAGGACGCCGGCTATACTCGGGGATGGACAGACCCCCCTTTAGCAAAACGTGGTTTAGTGAAAACGACCCGAGGCCCAAACCTGGCGGGAGCAATCCTGGAAAATAACGGCCACGGCGCCCTCTCGAAAACCGAAAACGGACAATTCACTAATCGACGTGTCACTGTTGGGGGTTCTGTCCACCCCCGATATACACCTGCACCGATCGTTGACGGGCCCAGCCTGTGCCCTGGATCGGTGTGTTCGCCCTCCTGGCTCGGCCCCGGTGGTCACGCGCCGATCCTGGGCCCAGGATTGGGCCGCCCAGTATCGCTGCGGGCGTGTCGTAGGCGCTCCCCGCGCCTCGCTCCCCCGCCGCCGCCCTCCTGCCTCCGCCGCCCTCCGCCGCCGGACCCGCCCCCCGCCCTCCCCGCGCCGACTCCAACCCCCGCCCGGGCAGGCCTCCCGCCCCGCCCCGCCGAGGGGGAGAGAGAGAGAGACGCCGAAGCCCCTGTCCTCGAGGCCCCGGGGGCGAGGAGGGGGCCCGAAGCCAGGAGGAGGAGGAGGAGGAGGAGGAGGAGGAGGAGGAGGAGGAGGAGGAGGAGGAGGAGGAGGAGGAGGAGGAGGAGGAGGAGGAGGGGAGGAGGAGGGAGGAGGGAGGGGAGGAGAGGGAAGGAGGAGGAGGAGGAGGAGGAGGAGGAGAGGAGGAGGAGGAGGAGGAGGAGGAGGAGGAGGGAGGAGGAGGAGGAGGAGGAGGGAGGAGGAGGAGGGGAGGAGGGAGGAGGAGAGAGGAGGAGGAGGAGGAGGAGGAGGAGGAGGAGGAGGAGGAGGAGGAGGAGGAGGAGGAGGAGGAGGAGGAGGAGGAGGAGGACGTGTGCCGTTTGCGCGTGCCCCTGCGTCTGCGTCAGCGCCTGCCTGCTGCACGCCGGCTCCCTCCGCGCCGTCCCCCGCCCTCGCCCTCGCTCGGGCGTCCGTTCCCCGTGCACTTCCGAGACAACAAGGCGCACGTCCGAGCGACGCCGAGCACCTGCCACGCCTGGGGGGTGAGCTGCGCGATGCCGCCGGCGTGGCCGCCCTAAGGAGGAGGAGCGCCGAGTCACGAGCGGAGGGGGCTCCTCCTGGCCACGGCCGCCCTCGGCCACGACGAGCTGCCCCCACCCGGGCCGCGGGAGCGGCCCGCACGCCAGGGCCCTCTCCCCCGGGCCCCCCCCCCAAGAATGGTTCTCCTGTCAGCGTCCTGGCTGTGGTTGCTGCTCTTCGATCCTGTCGCCTCGCGCCGGTGCCGGCACCTCGCTGGAGGAAGAGCAGGCATGCCCCCAGACGTGCGGCGTCCAGATGTTTTCCCTACGCGGTCCCCGGAAGTCCCAACCCTTTCCCCGGGGCCGGCTTGTCATACTGAGTCGTCATTTGGCGGTCCCGGGGCTGGCGAGAGCCTGCAAGGGCCGAAAGCGGCAAAAGCCTCCCGTGCTGATCACTAGTACTTTACGGCGCAAGCATGTCTGCGTCTGCCTGCCGGGTTCGGGGGCGAATCGCCCCCCTGCAAAAATCATCAAATCATCCTTGCGTGGTTGTGTGTTGTTTTTCCTTTACATCCTTTTCTTTTTCTCTTTTTTCCCCATGTCCTAAGATGGGGTTCTTGTTATTTCTTGGACGCCGCCGACTTCTCCTCCTTCTCCTTCTCCTCCCCTCTCCTCCGCATACCCAGACTTACTCATACACAGACTGACTCACACTCAGACTTACTCATACCCAGACTTACTCACACACAAAATTACTCATACTCAGACCTACTCATACTCAGACCTACTCCTACTCAGACTTACTCATGCTGAGACTCACGCGCGCCCCGTTCGCGGCCGTTTTGTGGGGATGCCTCAAGCGGTTTGCCTGTTTTCTATCCCAACTTCCTTCGCTTTCGGAGCAGATTTGGAGGATGTCTCGAGCGAGGCGCTCATTTTCACGTCCCTAAGGGGGGCCGCCGAGGGGTATGACACGGTCCCGTTCGCGGCCGTTTTGTGGGGATGTCTCAAGCGGTTTGCTTGTTTTCTGTCCCAGCATCCTTCGCTGTCGGAGCAGATTTGGAGGATGTCTCGAGCGAGGCGCTCATTTTCTCGTCCCTAGTGGGCCAGATTTTGAGGATGTCTCGGTCGGTTTGCATGTTTTGGTGGGTAGGCGCGTGGGCGCAGATTCTTCTCAGGATGCCACAAGAAGCTCCAACAGGCTCCAGAACCCCCAGGAAACCACATGAGGTCCCAGGAGGCATCAGGAGGCCACATAAAGACTCAAGAGGCCACAGGATATCCCAAGAGGCTCCAGGAGGCCCCAGGAAGCCCCAGAAGGCCTCAGGAAGCCACAGGAGGCCACAGGAAGGGCCAGGAGGCCTCGGAAGGCAACATGAAGCCCCGAGAGGCCCCAGGAGCAGGAGGCTTCAGAAGGCAACAGGAGTGGCTCCAATCCCATGTGTTTGACGTATGCTCCTATCGATTGGGCCTCACCTGGAGCACGATTGCTTGATGTTATAAGTATGTTTCTATAGATTGTCTTTCTCCTATGTACACAATCCTACATGTTTTACTTCTGTTCCTATATATTGGGCCTCTCCTGGGGCACGAGTCCTTGGTGTTTTACGTGTGTTCCTATAGATTGCCCTTCTCCTGTGGCTCTAATCCGTAATGTTTTATGTACGTCTGTTGCTACATATTGGGCCTCTCCTGGGGCACGAAACTTCCTTAGGAGGTCCCATGAGGCCCCGAAAAGGCTCCTGGAGACCCCAGGAAGCCCCAGTAGGTTTCAGGAGGCCCCAGGAGGCCCCAAGCTCATGCGCAGAGACGCGCTCGTACTACTGAGGCTCATTCACACTCCAATTCATTCGCAGTTGGATTCATGTCCATATCGTCACAACTGAAGCCCGTTTAGATTCGAAAGCTCTTGCGCCGAAGCAGTCACGGCGGACAGGTCCATGCGAATAGATGCACATATGGGGAGCTCCACGCAATGAATAATTCATGTTCTTCATTTTTTGACGTTCGCGAACCTCGCTGTGCGAATCTCTCTGGATGGCCGCGTGGTGAAGAACTCGGTTCTGCGAACCTCGCTGATTCGGATACGTGACCACGTGGGGCGGGGGTGGGACTTCCGCCTCTCCCTTGCTGCTGGCGCCTGGGGGGGGACACCAAACAAAAAATATGTTGTTCCCAACCATCCTGTGGTGTTGGGTCCTCGCTTTGAAGAGGCAACGCCCCGCGTCACCTCCTCCTCCCGGTGCCCCCTCCCCCCTATCCTCCTTTTCCTCCTCCATCCTCCCTGCGTTTCACCCACCCAATACAGCGTTTCGTGGCCCCATAGGGAGCTCCACCGAAGGCCCCAGTGGCAGGGTTCGCATGGCGGCCTCGGGCCATTTCGGCACACCCCTCACGAGGATCGTGGCCCCATAGGGAGCTCCACCGAAGGCGCCAGTGGCAGGGTTCGCATGGCGGCCTCGGGCCATTTCGGCACGCCCCTCACGAGGATCGTTGCCCCATTGGGAGCTCCACCGGAGGCGCCAGTGGCAGGGTTCGCATGGCGGCCTCGGGCCATGTCGGCACACCCCTCACGAAGGTCGTGGCCCCATAAGGGAGCTCCACCGAAGGCCCCAATGGCAGGGTTCGCATGGCAGCCTCGGGCCATTTCGGCACGCCCCTCACGAGGGTCGTGGCCACGTAGGGAGCTCCACTGGAGGCGCCAGTGGCAGGGTTCGCATGGCTGCCTCGGGCCATTTCGGCACGCCCCTCGCGAGAATCGTGGCCCCATAGGGAGCTCCACCGAAGGCCCCGGTGGCAGGGTTCGCATGGCGGCCTCGGGCCATTTCGGCACACCCCTCTCGAAGATCGTGGCCCCATTGGGAGCTCCACCGAAGGCGCCAGTGGCAGGGTTCGCATGGCGGCCTCGGGCCATTTCGGCACGCCCCTCGCGGGGATCGTGGCCCCACAGGGAGCTCCACCGAAGGCGCCAGTGGCAGGGTTCGCATGGCTGCCTCGGGCCATTTCGGCACGCCCCTCACGAGGATCGTGGCCCCGTAGGGAGCTCCACCGAAGGCGCCAGTGGCAGGGTTCGCGTGGCGGCCTCGGGCCGTCACCCCTCACGAGGATCGTTGCCCAATTGGGAGCTCCACCGAAGGCCCCTGTGGCAGGGTTCGCATGGCGGCCTCGGGCGATTTCGGCACACCCCTCACGATGACCGTGGCCCCACTGGAGCTCCACCGAAGGCGCCAGTGGCAGGGTTCGCACGTCGGCCCCGGGCCATTGCGGCACATCCCTCACGAGGATTGTGGCCTCATAGTTGTGCTGCTTCAACAACCGCGCCTGGGCGTCGTACTCCGCCTTGTCGACGTGCAACGCCACCTCCTCCCTCATGGCTCTCAAGGCCCTCTCCTGCTTCTGCTCCTCGGTGAGAGGGACGCCGTCCTTGTCGTCGTCGGCGCCCGCGAAGACGGCCACGAACGTGGCCCTGAGCATGTCGGGCTCCGGCTGGAAGCCGTGGCCACATAGGGAGCGCGGGCGAAGATGGTATTCACAATTGCGGTATTCACAACTGCACATGGTTGGGTCCTTCGCCCGGATTTTTGTCCCCCCCCTATCCTAGGCGCCAGCAGCAAAGGATTGCAATCGCAGTGCGTTGCAATCGTATGGACATGCGTTGCAAACGCATTTCAGCAGCAGTTCTGTAGTACTGACTGTCGCAGTAGTAGTGCTGTAGTAATGTAATATTCGTTGTGCTCTACTACTGCAGCGTTCTAGAAACGCCGTAGTAGCACTGCACTAATAGTGTGGCAGCACAGTGTTAGTCCTGTAGCTGTAGTAGAAGTAGTAGTAGAAATAGTAGTAGTAGTAGTAGTAGTAGTAGTAGTAGTAGTAGTAGTAGTAGTAGTAGTAGTAGTAGTAGTAGCAGCCCCACTCCGGCCTTGCAGTAGAGGTCATACGCGAGCGTTTGCTCTAGTAGTCGCACTGTAGAAGTGTAGTCGAAGTAGTCCACGACTGTACTACTCGAACAGAATAGTAGTATCCGCGAACTGTCGTGCTTTAGTGGTACTTTGCAAGAAGAGTGCTGCAATCTTGTGGGGCTGTGCCGTACTACTGCAGTAGTGGTACTGTAGAAGCAGCACTCCAATATATGATCCGTGCGAATATTTTTGCCTGCAGTGGTTCTACAACGGTAGTAGGACTACTCAAATGCCGCAGTCTATCAGCACTGTTGTAATACTCCAGTACTGTAGTGCTGTAGTGCTGGCGTTGAAATAGTCGCAGTGCAGTACTCTAGCAATAGTATTGCCGTAGTGGTACTCTAGTACAGAACCAGTGGTACTCTGAAACCATGCTAAGCCAGTCGCATTATTGCATTGACGAAGTGGCAGCACTGAAGTAGCCCTGTAGTTGTAATCGGAGTAGTAGCACTCAGGTCTCGCAGTAAAGATCATATTCTCGTACTTGCTTTAGTAGTCACACTCTAGCATT